GAGTGTTCAAGCAGGAGAAGAAACACAGGCCCCCACCCTAGCACATGAAAATAGTCCCTTGGGCACTCAGGAAGACACAGACCCCCGCCTCACACCCTGACAAGGGGCACCTGGAGGATGGGGTGCAGGAGGGATCCGCCTCCCAGCCACAAGGCAGCAGGAGCCCAGTGGAGTCTCTCTAGGTAGCGCGTGCTCCCCTCCTGTGGGTCGCCGCCCGCCCAGAGACGCGGCCCCAGGGTGGACAGACACCCAGTGTCCGCAGGGGCCACCTTGCGTAGCAGCCAGGAGCTGGGTGGGTGGCACTGGCTCATTGCTGACCCTTCTGGGCCTCAGTTTCCTTTCACTCCAGCTAGGTGAAGATCAGCTCTTTCTTTTTCTTTCCCACGCCTCCTCCTCCTCCGTTTCCCTTTTCTCCTGCTGTCTATTTCCGTTTTTTTCACCCCTCCACGGTCCGTTTCCGACTCTCCTCCTCCCTCCCTTCATCTCTGCATTCATCCGTCTTCCCTTCTCCTTTCCCCCTCCACTTTCTCCCCGCGAGGTTTCTGAGCTGCACGGGTGGTGGAGGGGCCGAGAGGCTGCCGTCCGCCTGTTCTGTGTGGAGAGGTGTGTGTGGCCGGGTGGAGCCTCCTGTCCCCGACCCTCCTCCCGTCCACAGGCCGGAAGTGAGCGAGCAGGGGCGTGCGGAGCGCAGAGGAGGCCTCCTGTTCCTGGTTTGGGTGAAATTGCCTTTAACTCTGCCACTTAACATCGTTTTATTATGTAATTTGGTGCTCTGTTGCTGAGTGAAACACAACCATCCTCTCTTATTCGGTCAGACATGTGGAAACTTTGTCTTTTTGTGAACTTTGGAGGTGGAAAAGGTTTAGTTGAAGACCCTGAAGTGATCTGAGGCCTGTGTAGCCTGCTTGCCCCCCTACCCCTGCTCGGGACACACCCGGGGCACAGGCAGTCGTGTCCCAGCGGGCGCTATGGGCAGGTGGTGCGACCTCTCCCGTGCTCGGCGGCCGCCCTAGAAAATGCCTGGAACAAACTAGCTTTTGATTAAAACCCTAAGACATCTCGTCTATGAGTGCTGCTTGTTCTAGGGTCACAGAGGACTTGAGCTGACGTCTGGCGAGCTGTTATTCGTGCCGGGCACCGTCATCCCGCAGACCGTGACAAGTGCTGTACTGGGTCACGGCAGGGTGATGAACTGTCATAGTCCGCAGTTGGGCTCCACGAGGCAGGTGTAGCCCAGGAGCCGGGTCGGGATGTGACCGCCTTCCCCGGGCACCGCTGTCTTCACTCCTGCAGGCGAGGCTGTGATTGGGCTGGGAATCATTAACGCGGGCCCTGTCCTGTGGTGGGAGCTGCGCTGGCCGGCGTGCAGCTGGGCTGGCCCGGCACCTATCAGTGTCAGCACGTGGCACAGCCGCCCGCACCCCACTTATCTCCCCACAGAGGGGATGGGGCGCTCGGAGCAAATCTCATTGGTGAAGTTGTGTGTGCACTGCTTTTTTTATAGAACCGCTTCCTTTCGGTTTAACTCTGCCGGGGTCTGCGGAGAGCAGCGCCGGCTGTGAGCAGCTTTGTTTTGATGGCCCCTTGGCGGGTGGGAGGCCTGCCCCGTGAGCAACTCTCCTAAGATGTTTCACGGAGGAGACGGCAGCGAGGATGAGGATGGGGAGAAGGCTCCTGAGAGCCCCGGCGGCCACCATGGCGAGGCCTCCCCAGGGCTCCTGGTGAGTGCTGCCCTCGTCCTGCCCGGCGCCGCGCCGTGGGGCACCTGCCACACGCACCCCTCTCCTGGCCCCACGCTGCCTCACTGCTTTTTTCTTTTGTTGGTGGTTAACAAAGTAGTCACTTCTGCCTGGGAGAAAAATCGAAGTTGTTTTGAACTGAGAATTTATTTTAAAACTAGATTTAAAGTAATGTATTTGGTTTCATATTCTCTTTGCATCTCATGTAGTAGTTGAGGTATGGAAGCTACTTAAAAGTTTTGTTTTATGGTCAGTCAGATCTTATGAAAGCTAAACTACTGATTTGAAACTGACCTTTTATTTGGGTGTATGATAGGGAAAAGTGCCGGCAGTTCGCTTCTTCTACCACTGTATAAGGTATTTCTGTAAGTTTGAAATTGGTATGGGGAAAAATAGAAATCTGAATTTTTTTATCTAGAGTTTCCTATAAAAATGTGAAGTAAGATAGGTGTGGCGGCGCATACCTATAATCCCAGCACTCGGGAGGCTGAGGCAGGAGGATCACTGTGAGTTGTAGACGAGCCTGGGCTACATAGTGAGTTCCAGGTCAGCCTCAACTACATAGTGAAACCCTGTTTCTCAAAAAACAAAGAAAAAGTGAAATAAATGCTTTCTTTAGAGGTATTTAGAAAAGGGTGAATATTTCTGTCAAAAATAAAATCAGCAAACGAGAAGCTGACAGGTCCCGAGACATGCTCTGTTGGACGGGGTTTTAAGGCACACACGGGTCACCTGCAGAGTGCTGCCCACCCGGCTCTGTGCTGGTTCAGACTGCTGGGGCTCACAGCTGCGAGGGAGGCGCTGCCTTTGAGCTCGGTGGGTCTGAGTGTGCGGTGGGTGCTGGTGGCCTGTGGAGAGGTCAGAGCTCAGGCTGTGCTGTTCTCCACAGGGAGGTCAAGGGGCGCCTGCTTAGGCTGCAGTTTGTTAACAGCTCTCCTTTCGTGTGGCTGTTCAAAGTCGCTGTCCCCGAGTCACCTCCCCATCCTGGAGAACGGCCAGCGCTGTGGTGCTAGGTGTCCTACCTGCCCGGCCCGGGACAGTGGGGCAGAAGTCCAGCTTTCTACCCCGGGCGTGTGTGTGGCAGGACCCTGAGCCCCGGCGCCTCCCGGGTCGCTTCCTTCCAGGTGGCTCCTCAGGCTTTCTCTTCGCAGGAGTCTCTCCGAGGCTCGCTGTGTGTGTGGAATGCGAGCGTCTTAGGAGTGAAGGCCACGAGGAGACTTCCGTGCTTCATTAAAGATCGGGGGCCAGGCAGCCCCTCTGTCCTCTCAGCTCCCCGGGGGCCTGGGCACTGGCAGGTGACCTGAGCTGCGGTGGGAGGTGGGGTGACCCGGGAAGAGTGCTTCGCGCTAAGCTGGACTGTGGGGCGCAGGGCAGAGGGAGGCCGGGCCCCAGCACACTGCCTGCTCCTTGCTCCTGAAGTCCTCGAACCCTAGGTGAGCAGCGGCTCCGAAACTAGCCGCCTCTGGGCAGCGTTCCCAGAAGTAGCGGTGTGTGACTGAGCGGAACCATCTTCAGAGCCCATTCTCACACTGTCTCTGACCTCTGCCTCCCGGCCAGCACCCCTGCAAGTCGCTGTGCTCGGGATCAGTGCCTGCAGGCATGGATGAGAACTTGGCCGGGCGGCCCTGGCCAGTCGGTTGGTGCTGGGCGCCTTCCGTTGGAGTCTGCATCAGCAGCACGTTAGCCTCCTGTAACCCTGACCCACAGGCGAGTCTGGACCCGGGGCTCCGGACCCCACCGCTGTGCTCCACACCCCGGGCGGCATGGCCTCGGCTCTGCCCTGGGGGTGGCCCCGGAGTCCGGCTCCTGGCTCGGCCAGAGTTGGACGTAGCTCTCTACGGGTCTAGATATGAATCTCACCATTTTGAGGAAACACTGCCTTGACCAGGCCTGTGTCCCATTCAACCTTACATCTTCTTGAAAGTAGAACAATTTCTGATTCTTTTTATTGTTTTGAGTCTTGTTCTAGAGCAAGATTCCTTTGTGTCTCTCTTAAAGCCTATGTTATTTTTATTATCTAAGATCTCAAGACGTTATGGGGGAGAGCCGGGGATTTAGCTCAGTGGTTCCGCCACCTGCCTCTCAAGCCCAAGGTCCCGAGTTCGATCCCTGGTACCAAAAAATAAAAATACGTTACGGAGGAGAGATTTCCCAAAGGGCAATAAACTGTGCTGCTGTTGTATAACTTGCTTGGCCTCAGGTCTGTGACGAAACCGTGCTTGGAACTTCGTGTGCTCTGGCCATGCCACGCCAACCTGGCACTTGGGTGCCCCGGGCACGCTGATGTTGTGTGATGCCCTGTGTCGTCAGTGCCCAGTCCTCTACCTGGACTGTGTCTGAGGTGCTTGCCAGCTACATGAGGCCATGGTCGTCCCTGTGTCTCTCAGGCACAGAGCGTGGACTCAGCCATTGTAGACTGCTGTTTGGTCGTAACGTGGGAATCGTGTTGGGAAACTCATTCCTTAGTTCCGGTGGGGCAGGAAGAGAGTGGAAAACACTGCTTTCCCTAAGTCTGTTCCATCTCCATGGAAGCAAGAGGGAGCCGGGAGCAGATCCACTGCCTGCACTTACCAGGCCACGTGAGACAGGTTGACATTAGTCCCACCGGTTGTGGGCAGGGATGGCCTCGGGCTCCTCCAGGCCTCGGGGACTGTGTGGCCGGAGGTGACCTGTGTCCCTGAGCTCTCCCTGGACTCTGCCCCCAGGCGCGGGCAACACAGAAGTGTCCGGCTGTTTCCAGAGCCCAGCTGCAGGCCTCGCACGGGCCCTGTTCAGAATCCAGCCCGAATTCCCACCCTTGAGCTGTCGGGTGCCCTCAGTGCTTCCCCTCTGTGACAGTGCCGTGGCCCTTCCTGGCTTTTCAGGAATGTGATGTTTCCACAGTGCTGCTCTGGGTGTGTCTGGAGAGGCTTCGTCTCTGGATTGAGTTTGTTTTAGAAAAAGGAGCACATGAGTGCCATGCTCTGCTCGGTGGGTCGCCCCAGAGGGCCCCTGATGTGGAAACGTCTGACTGCAAGTGACGTTTCTCCCAGCCGTGTGGTCATGGGGCCCGGGCTCCCCCTGTGGAGTGCGGGCTTTTCCTGTTGTGCAGAGTCTGGCCCAGGCTGTGGTGCCCAGAATGTGCAGACCTGTCTCCACCAGTGCTTGTCATAGTTTTCATGGTTTTTTTCATGCTTTGCTTTTTTTTTTTCTTTCTTTTTTAGTTGGAATTCATCTTTAAGAGAGCTGTCCTTGT